TGTTAATACTTCATTTGTATCTAATTTTAGTCTATGCTAGGAAAATCTCTTTTCCTAAGGCAAAAGAAAATAAGTTATGCATTGATGAATGTAAGCTGATGACCATTACTTCCTCCCTCCGTCCTGAGATTATCAGCACTTTCTTCCTCTTCCTTAGGTTTTGGGACTTGGCTTACCCAGAGCGGTCCTACATTGTTGCCGGAGGTACTAGTTCCTCGTCTGTGTCCTACTCTAGGAAAATAATTGAAGGCACTGAAGTCGTCCAGGTACAAGCAGTCTTGTTTTCTCTCAATTTCTATAGGCACAGAAATGACGTTGGCCAAGAGTGGCAGTATTTAAGAAGAACATTTATTTTCTTTGGGCTTTTCTGTGATTTTTAAATTAACTTTTATTAAGGTAAATAAACATATAAAGGGCACACACGTAAGTACCTAGCTCGAAGCAAGCACTTTATACGCTTGCTCAGTCCTTACAACAATTTATAAGGAAGTACCTTTATTAGAAAATTCAGCACCATGAAGTAACTTGTCTGAGATCATCCAAGTAGTAGGCAGCAAAGCTGGGGATTCAGACCTGGCTGTTGGAACTCCAAATCTTGTGTTCTTGAGTTGGGTAAAAACTTCAAAGGAGGTAACATACCTGAAAGTGCCTGGGTCCTAGAAGGCGCTCAGTAAATGAATGAAAGCTTCCTTTATGACAGATACATATTTACATCCACCGCTCTATTATATACTGTCTCTTTTTTCTTTTGACGGTGGCAAAAGGTAATATGCACAGGTTATGGATTGGCCTCTTTGTAAGCCACTACTCATGGGAAACAGGTCATTTTGACTCTCTTTACTCCTTGTCTTTGTGAAGGGACGACTACCTCACAGGAAGTTTTAGCTTTAAAGACAACCACCACCTGTCTCAGAAGAACAATATTCATAACAGGTACAATGTGGTACAGGCTTTTAACTTCTGGCTTTCTCCTTGACTTTTAACCATGAAACAGGAGATTCAGAATAAGCAGAAGATGGGACCAAGTGATGACACCCCTCGGAGGGGCCCAGAGTCTCTGCCTGTGGGACACCACGATATCATCACGGACATCGCCACCTTCCAGACAACACAGGGCTTCATTGTAACTGCTTCTAGAGATGGAATTGTTAAGGTGTGGAAATGAAAACTTAGTGGTCTGTATAATTTGTAATAAAGTTGTAAGTTTACTGTAACTTGAGAGCAAAGGTATTTTTAGAGGACAGAACTGAGATTCATTTCTTTCATTTTCAAAATTATGTCTCTATATAATACTGTCTCATGATTAAACAGATCCCATCCAAGGTGGTTAAGAAGGTTGTACTCAACCAATGTACTTACACATTATCTCTGCAAGAATCAGCCAGACAACAGTATCTGGGACTTCCTACTGTCTATGTCACAGAGGTGAGGAATTTAAAATGCTAAGACTTCTATGATCTAAGTTTGTACTAAAAACGATGGGTCATAAGCTATAATAATGTAAACACATTTTTGCTATTAAAACTGCTATTCAAACCAGCCAATAAAATGTATTCAAGCATCTTAAGAGTTTTTTGTGTTTTTTTGGCGTTTTTAACAGTAAACTTTAGCAGAAGAATAAACTCTCCAGCAGCATTTGTTCTCAAGAAATAAGGCACTTAATGTCACAAGGAATCGGCAACAGAACTAGGCCTTATGTCCACATTTCTGGACTCTCAGTATTTTGTTCTTTCTGCTTTATCATATCTTTCTTCCTGTTTTACAGTCTGCCTTATTATTTAGCACTAGAACTGATCTCCTGTGTATCAACCCTAGAAAAATGGCTTTCCTTGGCCATCATTACTATTTTTTATAGGCTTTAGTATAAATTCTGAAAGTTGGTCCTTCAGCTTGCTTTTATCCAGTGTCAATTATTTATTAAATGCATGAAAAAGAAAGAAAAATGAAAGGATTAAGTTGTTAAAGACATGCCAAAAATCTGTACTTCCAGAAAAAGACCAAAATTGGTCTTTCCCACAAAAATAAACCCTTCAAGCTTATCACTTATTATTTGTACATGAACTTAATTCTCTGTCTACATTTAACTGTCCTCCATTTGCAGAAGGGTTTATGCTGTTTGAAATTAGTTACATGAGTCTGTAAACCAAAAAGTAAATAATCTGACTCAGGGGAAAATACTACTTAAATACTTCAAAAACTTAATTTTCTGTAATTATATGATTCAGTTATGGTACAGGACAGTGCATAGGTATGGCTCCATGATTCAGTGCACTTGGTTTTGTTGTTTACCTGTCTAAACTCATCAGAAAACCCTGTCATTCACAAAGGTCTGAGGAGTCTGGATGTCAATGAGGCCTTATAGCCTAGGGGAGCAGTAGGATATGCAAATTTGACATTGTCATGTTACATTGCCTCTGTTTCTCTTCATGTCTCTTAAGACCGTACCTGTGGGGTTTCTAGATTTAATGTCTGCAGAGGTTGGGGGACACTTGTTTGAGCTGAGAAGGGCTTCAAGCCTGGAGACATTAGTGAAGCCACACCACTGATCAACATTCTGAGGGGAAGAATGGAGTGGGCCGATGGAGATGTAGTCCTTTCCCCCCCTGATCTTGCCACCATCCATTCTTCCCACTTCAACTCTCCCCTTAAAAAAAGGGGTCATTTGGTTGAATTGTTACTGTTACAATCTGATGCCACATTGAAGTTGCATCTTTTTTTCGACTTTTTTTTTTATGTTTGACTCAGAGCTCAAGTACAGAGATAATAGGAGGCATGTCTTTTAGAGTCAATTAATTTACATGTTTAGACCAAGAAGGACCACTGCTTATTGAGTCTTGGTTTCAATAGGGTTTTATTTAGGGGCGCCTGGGTGGCTCAGTTGGTTCAGCATCCGACTTGGGCTCAGGTCATGATCTCACGATCTGTGGGTTCGAGCCCTGCGTCAGGCTCTGTGCTGACAGCTCAGAGCCTGGAACCTGCTTCAGATTCTGTCTCCCTCTCTCTTCCCCTCCCCTGCTCATGCTTTGTCTCTCAAAAATGAGGAAGTGTAAAAAAAAAAAATAGGGTTTTATTTATTTTTGCTGCTTTTCCCTTTTAGGAGAAAGAGGTGAATCATGGAAAATGTTTTTTTTTTTTTTTTTTAAGGAATTTTTTAAAAAGGAACTTAATATTTATAGTATGTTTTAGATCCTTCATCTATTAAGGATCAAAAAGACCCAAACTGCTAAAATAATCTCAATTACCAAGGGCAAAATTTTTTGGTGTATTTTACTTACCAATGCAGAAAAAAATAGACAAATACATATTAAAAGTATTTCTAGCAGTAAATAGCAGTTTTTGCTTAATCCAAAGTTAACCAGAAAAATCCCTGTTAAAATAGCTTTTAAATATTGCTCATCAATTTGCTCTACTTGAAGCATAAATTTTTCCTAAACTCCGAAGCACCACTTAGGATATGAAGAAACGTGATGTGCTTTATTCTTCTCTATTTCCTGAGTATGAATGTGACATTTTAACTCCTTCCCCCTCTGAAGACATTGGGAGCTATCTCTATGGAATTGCCTGAGTACGGATGGCAGAAGTGGTTTTAAAACACAGCGTAGGTGACCCTTCTTTCCTAGCTTTTATGAAGAGCGATACAGAAAAGAAAATCACCTACTGGTCTTAGGTGTTGGTAGCCATCTGCCTGCCCCCTGCGTCCAAGCAAAGTCTCCCCCCCTGAAGAGAGGTTCTGCCAAGCAGGGCCATAGTTACCAACGCTGGAGCCAGCTTTGAGAATTCGAGGTGAGGTCCAAACATTGTGTCTCAAATAATGCTACTCTGGCATTTAGTGGTTGGAAATATTAGCCCTTCATAAAGGTTAAGAGTTAGTTATGTGATCTTGATGGGGGGTGAGGCGGGAGCAAGCTGTCAGAATGCTACGAGACGCTAGGCACTTGCAAGACCCTTCCTGCTTTAACTTACTCTAATCTCTTTACATCTCTGCAGCCCTGGATGGATTTGTGGCTTAAAACATGAACAACTTTATCTTTTCCAAACTCAGTATGTATTTAAGACTCTAGATCTCGGTCAGTCCTATTTGGTACTATTCACCATTGACTAAATAGCTACCTGATGGGTAAAAGTAACGCAGCTTCACCCATGACAAGTTGTCTTGACTCTTCTTGCCTAAAGAATATAGAGATTAGTAAAGAATAATATATGACAATAATGGTAAAGAATAAAAGTCCATAAAAATGGCCAGGCACGAGGCTCTCTATATCATGAGGGAACTTCCAGCTCAAAAGCAATTATTTATGTTTTGGGGGAATTCACAAGTTTCTCAGTGAGTTAAGGAGGAGTTGGAGCAGAGAAAATGACTCTGCTTCTTCTCTGTCCCTGCAAACTACTGCAGAAGGTGGGAGAAGACCTGCCAGCACAAGCCTATCAGAAGGTTAGCCATTCTACACAGAGACAGTGGTGTATTTAAATGGCATCACGGGAAGTCAAATTACCAAAATTGACACAGAAGCATCGATTTCGAAATGTAAATGTTGGGGTCTCTCAGAACGTTAACCTTTGGTTAAACAGACGAGCCTTTAACAGTACTAAATAGAAAACAAAATCTTGGTTTGAAGAAAGTGGACTGAACAGAGACCTGCCATCAAAAGAATTAACATTGGCTCATATATATATATGTTTAAATTTTACCTTCAAATTATATCTCTATTAGACTTTTCAGAACATTTCTTTCATTCTTCCATCTTTTAATAAGTTCTTGAAAGTATCAGAGTGCCGGAATTATCAGGAATGCTCAAAGAAATGGACAAGAAACGAATGCCAGGGGTCAAGCTGCCTGATAATCTACAATCCGTGTTTTGTCCAGCCCTCCAGAGTGGACCTCTGGATATGGCTGGATATCCAAATAAAAGTTGTCCATAGTTAATGGCAGTGAACTGAGTTACTCAAAACCAGAGGCTTACCATCCTTTCAAAGGCTAAATCCTTCAAGCACTTCCTTTATCATTGTTGTCTTGGAGCAGTTTTTATCACCTTTCTTCCATTTTTAAAGGTATGGGGTGTGTTTCTGATAAGATTCTGAACAGTATCGTCTCTGCTGCCTCTTGCTACTCTTGAAAGGTATTTTTTGTCTTGAAAGAATCTGGCTCTCTGCAATGCATCCCTGAGAGCAGCTTTATGTGGTCCAAAAACAAAGCTGTACAACGAAAGAAGAGAAACATCATAGAAGATAAATGCCATTTCTACTTTAATAGACTATGTTAATTCCATCTTCCTCAATGTTGTCATCTCCTTCCTTGCTACACCCTCCCTTCAGGGTAGTTTTATTAAGACTATGAAACTGAAGACTTACACTGGCCAGATCTAAGAGAAGCTGAGAATAAGACAGGAGACATTTGGTCACAGTATCAAGATCATTTCAACAGCAAGGTTTCTTCTTTTTTTTTTTTTTTTTTTTT